TCTGGAGTCCAACTCCCCTTGTTCAAAGCCCCTCTGAGTACTGGCCCCAATTTTACTTTCAAAGTCAAGTACTTATGCACAACATTCCTTATGGCCATCTGCCTACCTATCTTTATTTTTTTTTCCATTTTGGGAATACCATTTGCTTTGGGGTGCCCACAAGCTGATCATAAATGAGCTGAAATGTTTCTCCTCTGTTCAGTTTGGGTTTGGAAATTACAAAGATTATTTTTCCCACTCTTCATCATCTCTCTCCTCAACTTTCTGGGGATTCTCCTTTGTTTTTATAAGGTATATTTTCTGTTGGGCCTATTCTTAAGCCTTTATCCCCCCTTCAGGTGACTCAGCCTTTATCGCCCATTCAGATGACTAAGTTACCTCCTGGATGCACTTATATCCTTGTGCTGTCCTCAATTTCAAACCCTGGTGACCTTCCATGAGTCTTTCTTTAACTCTGCCAGTGCGATAAACCCTAATTCAACCTTCTCATGGTGCGCTAAGGGGAAACTGGCCTCCTGGGGCTCTCACAGATAGAAGAAGTAAGTGGAAATATTTATTTCAAACATTGCCAGGCCGTCCAAGACCTACTGGCAATTGTGGTGGCTTCTCTGCTCTTTCCGAAGAAGCATCTCATTCAGGGCCATTGACTATAGACTGAGTTTCTGTATCAAGTAAAATTCTCCTGAAACTCCACCCAAAGGAATTTAACTTTCTGGATGTGGGGAAAAAAAGCTTTTAACACACACACCTCAGCCAGCAGATGCTGGAAGGGAAAGGACTATCTGCAAACTCCAGCTCCAGTAGGCCCTGAACCAAGGTACCTAATTAGACAACAGAAAAATGCAGAGTATTTCATATTACCAGTTTCCAGAGTTATAAAGAAGCAATTATCCCTCAGAGCTGGTGCAAGGATATAGCATTTCTTGTGGAAACCCCAATTTTCCTTTTGGGCACAATTCAAAACAGAGAAAGAAGGAAAATCAATACTAGAAATGTCAAAGATTTTCCTGGCCAGTGTCTTATGGAAATTCATCTACTCTTCTGAGGATCAAACAGCCTGTCTTCTGTGTGCAGACATAAGATAAGCATTCTTTTCCCACCTGCTTTCCCCCCGGCCCTCACCTCACGTCACTATTCTTCACAGAAAATATTCTCTCTGTGAATCTCTTTAAAGCTGCAAAATGACAATGTTCACTTTCAAAAGCCGAGCCACAGAGACGACTTCACAAGGGGTGGGTGATCCCTGGGTAAAGGGTCTGGGTCCCAGGAAGACATGGATTTCATTGCTGAACGAAGATGATTAGAGAGACCATCTGATACCCCACAGGGAGGAGTCCAGGCCCAAAGAGTCCACTGGTCACCTTCCCTGACAACCACATCCTTGTCTTTGGGGTCCTACCTGTCCCACTCTGGTTGTGTCCCTCATTTGTCAAAGGAGGAGGCTTCCCAAAATCCTTTCAGACTTTCCTTCTTGAAACTACATGTGGTAGTTGAATGTGAAGACTAAGTTCTTCTCTAGAATCTTCCCTCCTAGATTTCCCTCATCTGGAGAGTTTTTTGCATGACTTTGAAACCTACCCATTTTTTTCTTCTTTGATTTTTTTTTTTTTTAAAAGACAACAGAACAAAACACCCACCAACATCCATTACACCACTTCCACCTCTAGTAACCTCATTTTGGTGATCAGTGTCCTCTAGTTTATTTTTATTTTGTTGTATCTATTCATTTGCTTCATTCCTTTATGCTGCTTATGTAGGTTAAATCATCCAATATTTGTCTTTATCTTTCTAATTTCCACTTGCCATAATCTCAAATTCTTTCCATTTTGTTGAAAATGGCAAAATCTCTTTTTTTTCTTACAGCAAAATAGTATTCCTCTGTGTATAGATAAAGCACATTTTCTTTATTCAATCATCTATCAGTGGGCACTTGGGTTGTTTTCATTTTATAGCTCTTGTACATAATGCTGTAATAAACACTGTGGTGAGTGTAACTCTTCAAGTTGCCGAACACAGGGCTCTCCAAACCTGAGTCTCTCTTGAAACACCTTCACTATTTGGCCAGAGTTATTATTCTTCACATACGATTTTTCATGAATCCATCCACTTTTTAAAAAATGTTAATATGTTTAACAGACCCGAGAGCAACATCATTTACCAGAAACAGAATGAAACTCAAGGATCAACTCAATGCAAACAAAACAATGTTATGACACATCCTCATTAGATAATGTCTCTAGCTGAAGACAAGTTTGTAACCATCTCTCTTCCTTAAACAAAGGAGGCCAAGTCTTGGGGAAATGCAAAGAACACAGTGGTGCAAACCAAGACTCTCCCCAGCACAATCAGAAATGTTCAAAGAAAATAAGGAACGGAGACACTTCAAATCTTAAGGGATGTTATTTAGTGCCATTTCATGTACCCCTACAATCAGCTCACATATCTGTAGTGGAGAACCTCTCCTCTCTCCTAAGAATGTTGATGGAGCATTTACTATGCGCCCAGTACTTTCTAGGTTCTGGGAAAACAAACATATATTTTAAAAGGGGAGGGATAGGCTCTGTGGCCACATGAAACTTAAAACAAACATTTGAATAAACAGTGTCGAGGATAGGCTTCTCTGCAGTCTGCATCTTAACCTAAGGAAAAGCCCAGATTCAAAACTATGAAAATCAGTTACTAAACCACACCCCTAGAAGGAGACTCAATATTCAACAGTTTTTCTGATTATGTTCACGATAAAAAATGACATGTGGTTATTAGTCGTGAAGTGTCTGGCATACTTTGTAAGCAGTAATAACCACCCCCCAAACCTCAGGGCTTCCCAGATAAACAAGTCCCCACCCAACTGCTCTTCCCCAGCATCCTCGGGGTGGCCCCCAATGCCAAAAGACAACTGACATTTAAAACCTGATTGAAACCACACGAAACCCTGTGTATTTTAAATGTCAGTGAGGAAGGCAGCTGGGCCAGCAGGCTTCCCCAGGACTGATTAAAAAACCACATCTCTGTACTTAGATTTAAAAATCAACCACTAGAGACAGCAAAAGAAGCGAGGGAGGACAGGAGTGACCTTTGAATACAGGGCAATTGAAATGATTCACATTTGTGACTAATTATCTCTTTCTTAATCTTTATGTTTGTCTCTCTTCTTTCAAGCAGCTGTGACCCTTGATCCCACTGAATTCCAGGCTTCTGTTGGGTCTTGCTTTGCCCAGATTTAGAGTGGCCATTTTCTGCTGTGTGTGTGTATGTGTGTTGTTTTAAACGACTGACATTTGTCATTCTTTTAAAGTGCACATAAAATAGAATCTTCCCTCCTGAATTTTGGAAAGAAAAAAATAAATAAAAGGATGCCTATGTTGTTTTTAAAACCTAAAAGCTTTTTAAACTGTCTTAAATGTATGTTCTCCTTGGATACAGAGCAGTATCACCAGCCCAAAACCAGGAGGTAAGGTATTTTAATGTTACTTTCCCATTAAAAGGAATGGTTTATGCTTTAAAATAACATATATGCATATATATATCAATTTAAGGAAGACTTATTACTCTGTGCTGCTGCTACTCACTGTTCTAAGCACTTTACAGATAATTTATTTGGCCCTCATCTTATATGATTAGTTCCTATTATCTCCATTATATAGAACAGGAAAAGAAAGTGCAGAGAGGTGAAGTAACTTGCTCAAGCCCACACAGCTAGGAAGTGGCTATGCTGGACATTGAACCCAGATAGTTTAACTGAGAGGGCCAAACTCTTGACCACTCTCCTATGCTGCCTCCTTCTCCATGACACACACACCACATGCTAAGTGCTTTACATGTGTTATTTCATGTAAACCATAAACATGTGTTATTTCCAAATAACCATGTGTTATTTCATGTAAACAAAAGATCTATAAGGTAGTTCTTATTTTTACTCTCATAACAGATGGAGAAACTGAGGCACAAGAGGCAAAGCACCCCGCCCAAGACCACTTAGCTAGTCAGTGAAAAGTGGTGACCCTGATTTCACCAAAGTGTCACCCAGATATTCACAGTCACAAAAGATGTCTCCCCAGCCCATGTATCTATGGTTGAAGTCAGGGAGGCAGTTCCTGTCAGTGGATTAGAAACCAGCCTCTAATTGAACCTGGAACCTTGAACTCATTAGCCCCATGACAACAGTGCTTAGGCAGACAGGCTGTGAGATCATCTGATTCAGTTCTCTCTTTAATAGATCAGACGAGGAGACTTAGTGACAAGAGTAACTTGGCTAAAGGGTATGTATAGTTACACCCGATTAGAATCCATACCTGGGGATGGGAGAGACTGACACCAGAGCAAAAGGTCTCAAAGTGAGCATCGGGGTCCCCTAGGAGAGTCCTCGGATCTTTTTCACATGGTCAAAACTATTTCCTTAATAACAACTATGGCATTATCTGTGTGTATCCTCGCACCCTCCATGGAGTGAACCATAGTGTTTTCCAGAAATTGCATGACCTGCCAGTCACAACAGATTGGCTAGGATCCAGTTGTCTTCTCTGAAGTCAGACAGTGCAAGAATTTGCAAACATATAATACACGACAACATCTAATATTACACCACATACTGCAAACATACAACACAGTCTTCATATTTTTTGTTCAGAAAGTTATTTTTCATAAAAATGTTAACATAAAATAGGTTTCTATATAAACGAATTAAGGCACATTTTAAAGTGTCACAGGTTTAACTGCTAATAGATAAAGACAGAAATAACCCAAATAAAGGATCATTTCTATATATTAAAAGCATAAAGGGATCCTGGGACCAAAACCTGGACAGTGACTGCCTGGGATGACTAGGTCTGCACAGCCAGGCCCACACCTGTGTTCTCTGAGGTCACAGCACCACAGTGCAGGCTCATAGCAGGGGCATGATATATGTGATTTGAGATGCTGAAGAAATGCCAAGATGGACAGCATCAGTCATCTACTTAGGTGCATGTACCCAGCTGCATAATGACACAAGCTCAGCTTACCTGGAAATAGTCTGATATGAAGGATCCAAGTTCACTCTTCAGCAGCCGCCTGGGGAAAGAGAAACACCGTCAGGCAGCCCGTGATGGTTCAGCTTGTGTGCAGTTCAGGATGCAAAACAGTGCTGGAGTTCTGATGCCTGGAGTGGGGCCAAGGCCAGGGCTAAGAAGGGAGGGCACTTCTCTGCGCCCTGGTAATACCCCTGACACTGAATGCCGGCCTCAGTTTCCCTCAGCCAATAAAAGGAAACAGTGAGGAAAAGGAAAAGTGGTTTAATTTGTTGACAAATGAGGAGGGCCGCAGACGCATGTCTGAAAGACCACTGTCCTGCTCTTTGGCAGAGTGCAGGGTTGTTTATACAAAGGGAAAAAAAGGGGCAGATGGGCAAGGGTCTGCAAAGGGGAGGGGGGAAGGGTCTGCACGGGAGACAGGTGGGCGCCAGCTTGCTTTTTTCAACAACTGCTCCCTTTTCCTTGGAATGCAAGAAGACAAACCTGTCAAGCAGGGGGGGGACATTGCAAGAAATACAGGTAAGACAATCTTGTTCATGTTTATGTGAGTAACCAGTCATAAAGAAGGCAAACTTGTCAAATAAGGGGGAAATTGCAAGATGATGGGGGAAGACAAACTTGTTAATTCTTATCTGAGAAACCAGTCATTTGTAACTGCATCACCCCCACCAAGATTTTTAGAGAACTGTGGTAGTAGAAATTCTAGACGGGGTCCACTCCTTAGATCACTCTATGAAAGACAGCCAGCTCACTAGGGCCACTGCAGGAGATCTAATTCAAAAAGAGTTAGCAGAGGTAGGCCATGGCACCTGTCTTCACGTGAGGTCAAAAAAAAAAAAAAAAAAAAAAAAAGCCAGAAAGAGAAAGACCATTATTTTGAAACACTCCACATTTGCAGACTTTATGTTCTGAAATGCATTTTTCATACATTCTTCAGTCAAGGATGGCAAAGTGGGTGTATTTTTTGGGTTGCAATTATATATTATACATCCTATAGAGTTAGAGAAATTGAGGCTCAGAGAGGCCCCCCAAATAAGTCAATAGCAGAATTAAGATTTGAACCCAAGTCTTCTGCAAATTCAACATCTTTTCCCATAACCCCACCCTATTCTCTCCTCCAAATCTACTGGAGACCATTCAACTTGGTGCTGTGATTTGGGTGGTCTTAACATCATTCCCTGGGCAACTGAAGCAGTCCTTCAAAGGGATTCACTACAGGGAAAACAATCATTACCCATGCATCAAACATTTATTGAGCTGCTCTTTATGTGGTAGAGATTGTTCTAGCACCAGATGTACGGAAACAAATGCAACAGGCAAAGACTATTTCAGGAAGCTTCTATTCTTGGAGATGGGAACGAAGTGTGGATAGACAGCATGTTAAATAAACTCCCAAAATAATTTCAAAAAGTCATCAGTACTCAAATTTTCTTTTTAAATAGGGGTTTTGGTACCAGATACCCTTATCTATTACAAAATATTGGACCATCCCTATTGTTTTTTCTTTCATTTGACCCAGACAAGGCAAGCGAGCTAAAAAAACAAGGATAACTGGTTCCCTGGAACCAGTGAATTCCCTGGGAACTAAACTCTTCATGACTTCAAATGCTTTCATTTACTCATCTCACCAGCCATGATTCTTAAAGAGCAAGCCCTCGAGCTTCTGACACACCTGCTGGGCATTAACTCTTCCCCCAAACTCGTTCCCACATGTCGCAGTAGGAGGAACAGGAAGTTACAGAGAGCTAGTGTTCTGTACAGAACATCATGGACAAATAGAATTGAGACAGAGAGATATCTATGATCTAAATTTCTTTTTTAAAAGACTTTATTTATTTTGTGTAAAAGAACTAGGGTATAGGCCAGAGGTGCAGCAAGTGAGAGAATTCACCAGAAACAGAATGGGGAGCCGAATAGGCATATGTACTGAAATATACTGCTGAGGGGAGCAGCAGGTTAAGACAGGGGAGGTCTGCTGCACCAGGTGGGTTTGGTCCCTGGCCCGGGATTGAACTCAGGCTATAGTAGTGATAGTGCTGAGACTTAACCCCTGTGTCACCTATGATCTAAATTTCTGTAATAGGAAGACCTCTGTGCAGCTACAAATGTGTGTTAAGCAAGGAAAATACATACTCTTCCCACAACAGAAAATGTGTTCTGTGGACACTGCATTTTGATATCCAGACAAGCAGGAAGAGAAGAGCCTGGAAGGCTATCCCACCAGCACAATCCAGGGGCTTATGCAGACAGGGATGCCTTTATCAGTCACTGGCCAAGGGCAGGCCAGTCATTGCTGCTCTTTGAGGCTAGAGGCATCTCCCTTACAGGAACCAGAAATCTAGTGGGCAGCCCCAGCTGGAGAGTGAAACAGGAAGAGGCAAAGAGGTTGCTTCTAACCACGGGAGCAAGAAACATCTCCTGACAAAGACTTAGCAGCCATTGGGAAGTCTCAAACCCATAGGTGAAGAAACCAAGTTGTATCAAAAAGTAAAAAACATGCCCTAACCAAAGCCAGGAACAAAGTTCCCCAAGCATATCTTGGGTACCCATAGAGCTGAGGGACTAACACAGTTATGTGACCAAAGAACACTCTGTGGAACTGGTGCCCAAGGAACCCACACTAGGAAAACTGCTCCTGAGGATGCTTCAGAAAAACGGAACAAGAAGGAGGCCAGGGGTAAGGGTCGGCATCAAGGTCAAGAACTAGGGAACACACCTGGACCAAGAGAGAGGAGGGATCTGTGCGGGTGTAACAAGGGGACACTGGGGCTGGATGTGATTAAACTAGGTGATTATTGCCCCCGGAATGTCACCATGATGTTCCCCAACTCAGGACACCCCAGAGGTCTCGTCTCCTTCCCAGGGAGGCACAAAGGCTGCGGCCCACAGGGAGGGTGCAGGCTCAGCCTTTATGTGATGGCCCAGAGCTGCAGCAAGCCATGGCCAAGGCCAGCACTCTGTGGTGGCACAGGCAGCCAAGCTTGAGGTAGGAAGCAGCTGATAAAGGAGCACAGCCTGATGAGGGGACCTGATACAAGACAAAGGCTTCCAAAAAGGACTCTGGAGCTAACTCGAGCAAAAAGAGTTAGCTCAACAAGGTGCAAATGGATGAGAATTAAAAAAAGAAGACATGAGGTGCTTCCATCAGGTGACCCCAGTCCTTTACTGAGCAGGGGCCAAATGCAGGTGTGGGAACCTGCTTTATAACCTTTAAACCTTTTTTTTTAAAAGATTTATTTATTTATGCATACAAGAACTGGGGTACAGGCCAGAGGTGCGGGTGGTGAGAGGATTTGCCAAAGACAAAGTGGGGAACAGAATAGGCAGACTGACTGAAATATGCTGCTGAGGAGAGCAGTGGATGAGACAGGAGAGGTCTGCTATACCATGTGGGTAGCTCCCTGGCTGGGGATTGAACTTGTGCTGCAGTGGCTGCAGACAGCTTCATAGGCTGTGTCTTAAACCCTTACACTAATGAACTAGAACCAGTCTTGTCAAAAGAATTACACGTTTGTCCTATTATCAAATCCCGAGTCCCAAACCCTCTCCAGAAGGTATTGTTATACAAAATTATCAGAACAGCACAGACTATGTGATCACGTGAGCTAACATTCTATGGCCCTGGTGGGTAAATAAGTAAATTGCTCTGACCCTTACCAAACTGTAGGGTAAATGAAGACTGCTCAGACTTTTGCACTGCTGGCCTCTGTGGCTATCCCCTGTGGCCATGAATGCTGAGGCCCAAGTTGCTGTCTCTTAGCAACTTTGTTTCCCCTAACCTGTGGGGCTGATGCCAAGGGCTCCAATGTTCTCTTTCAAGCTGCCTGAACCACTGATGAACCTCCCCAGCCTGGGATGGCTGTAGAATAAATACAAACCTTATTTCTGTCTGAGCTAGTTTTGATTTGGACAAGGTCACTGAATCTATGGACTGAATTTTCACTGCAGCAAAATATGGGAAACAACAAAAATGTGTACCAATTAATACTCATTAAAAATTCAATCCCCGGCCAGCCAGGGAACAACCCACATGGCGCAGCAGACCTCTCCTGACTTGCCCGCTGCTCCCCTCAGCAGTGTATTTTGTCAGTCTGCCTGTTCTGATCCCTGCACTGTCTCTGGTGAACCCTCTTACCCTCCACACCTCTGGCCTGTACCCCAGTTCTTGCATGCATAAATAAATAAATCTTTAAAAAAAAAAGTTATGCTACGGGCAGCACAGCTTTCTTTAAAAAATTAGGGTTCATTCATACAAGGGGATTCTGTACAACTGAAAAAAGAGTGAAAAGTGCTGTAGAGGACACCAAAGAATTTACATTACATTGAGTGAAAACAAAAACAAAATGGAGAACAGTGTGTTAAATCTGCTACCTTGTGAAAAGGGAAGAGAAAAAGAATAAAAAGAATACCTATTTCGATATAGGCGATACCAACAAATTCATTTGTCAAATCTTTTCTTAAAGCTACGGTTCTGCAACAGCTAGACATTTGGGTTCCAACAGACTCTCTGGACTGAGATATACAGTGTCTTGACTTTTAAATAGACAAGCATTTTAAAGCTTCTCTTAAATGTACTGAGTTTTCCCTCCTCTTCGCCAACTCCCCGGGGAAGGGTTAGAAAAGGTTGAAACTGTTGCTGGGAATGAAATAGGACAAAACACTTTAACAAACTCTACTCCCTGTTTACAGACCAGTCTGTGTTCTTCGTAGACAGGTCCAGTCTCCCCAATTGCTTTTCCATACATGGTCTTTATATATGCAAAAAGAAGTTCTAGAAGAATACCTAAAAACTACTGTTAGGATAGTCACGTTTCGGGGTGGGGTGGAAACTGGGTTTCTGGGGTACAGGGGAGTAAGATTCTTCCTGATGGACTTAATTATACATGTAATAATTTTGTACCCTGTGAATCAAACCTATTCATTTCTTTTTAATTTTCTTAATTAACAAGAACCACCACCAAGGCTATCACCAGAGGGCTTGAAGCTAGAGAAAGAATTGTGGGAATGAGTTCCATCAAGGGCACATCTCAGGAAGCAGGC